GAAGGAGACGGAAGAGGAGGGCGAGGAGGAAGGAAAGGTGGAATATGGTGAGGAGGAGAATAGAGCCGACATTTTGGACGAATGGGATTGGGGGGGTGGAAATGATAAGATGATGATGCAGGCACGGCCCGTGGGAGTTTTACTTCATCTGCCCTCGAGATGGACACGCTTGGTCAACTCCTCACCGACGTCTGGTCGCCTCAACTCTGGCCCTGGAAGTGCAGATGTGATCCATTTTCAATCGTTTTCTCCAACACCCTCTCGAACACAAGATTGAGTCACCTTTGGCCGCCAGCCCTCTCTTGTCGTTGCCAGCGTGTACTCGAGTGTGACGCATTCTCGAGTACGCCTCCGTCGGTCTGTCTTCAGGAAGCACGGCGAATTGGTGAACAAAGTCGCCATCCTCACCATCGTCAGCACCATCCTGTTGCCATCATTTCGATTAAAATGTACAGCAACCCACTCATTGGCAAATTACAGGAATGCTCTCTTGATCTGACGATGATGGTCGCATGGACCCGTTTCCCAGACTGACTTCAGCGCTTAGTTGAACCTCCTTTCCTGCCGTTCAGACCAGCTTTCCTGCCAAACGACAAAACAATATATTCAGTCACATGCGACCATCCGGGTGCCCTCGAGACTCAGTTGTCAGAATGCATATTGCCCTTGGCGACAGGAGCAAACCGTCCTGACTGTAGGTCTGCTGGTGGCCTGAAAAAGGGTTTGATGAGATCTCGCCCTTTGGTCAAACCATCAAGAGAGACATTGCATGAAGTGGCCAGAGCCAAGGACGATACTAAAAATAGTTGGCAAGCTCAGATCATACAGACGTTGCCAGACGGGGCCTCTCCTGGATTCGCTGGCAGAGGCAAGAGGACAGATTATGAAGTGCATTTAATGTAATGACATATTGGCAGTTGCCTTTTCGCGTAATCAAATGAGTAGGCCTTAAGTTTCCAGTCAAATTTGTTCGGGGCAGAAGTAGCCCGAAGTTTCGACGTCGCCTCAACTGGCCTCAACAGCATCGCCGCGAGGACTCGAACTCTGATGCACTCTGGATGAGAGTACTTTTAGGCAGTTGGGGGTATGTGAACTAAAGGTTCACTCAACAGGTTGAGGGATAATTCAGCTATCAATCCTTTATCACCCCAATGAAATATGATGAATAATTCATATATATATATATATAGATAGATAAATATATAGA